ATTTCATTGTCATGTCTGATTAAAAGGAAGCGAGAGCAAGTACTTACTCCAAAGGATGGTTCCAGTGGAGAATGAGTGCTTCCTAATCATACTAAAAGTGCTTTTTTTCCAATCTTTTTCTTTTTTTTTAATTTAAAAAATTTTGGTTTGCTTTGGAATTTAGAGAAAAGAAAAGGAAAATAATATTTAACTTCAAAAAAAGATTTCAATGTTTCAGTAGGGTTAATTTTGTGTTTTTGTTTTTTTGTTATTTTTGTTATTTCCTTGAACAAACAATAACTCCTCTCTCTCTCTTTTCTCTCCTCTCTCTCTAAGAAAGACCTCGTTTCCCTTTCATAATCAAAGTTCATCAAATGCCTGTATGCTACAATTTTCTTGAATTGAGAGATTCAAGGGAGGGAAAAAAAGAAAGAAAAAAGATTTTACTGGAGCGCGCATGCAAGACAAATGATTCAAACGATGACCGACGAGGAAAGAATTTGGTGTAAGTGGCATCGAGAAGAATTGGTTTTTTATTTTTATTTTGTTTTTTTTTTATTTTGTCCTTTTTCTGAGTCCTTTTGGAGTTAATATAATAAAAATGCTAAACAAAAGTATGGCTATTGGAGTTGAATATAAAAAATGCTTGAAAAAAGGTATGTTGATCGCTGCATTAGAGCTGTTGTGTCTGTGATAGTACCGGACGCCGCAAAGCTTTTTTGCCAGCTCATGACAGAGTACACATTCACACGTGCAAAGTAGCTGAAGGATGTAATACATATAGAAAAAAAAAAAGTAAAAAAGTCATAGCGGCTTTTTGACCAATTATACAAGGGGCCTGAGTGCAAAAGTTTTTTTTCGGGCAAAAAATACAGAAAGCAATTCTGCGTTTGCCAATTGAAAATACAAGTGGTAAGGATTAGGAGAATTTGACAATTTTCTCATGTTATCTTTATTGGAAAGCAGAAAATTTCCTTAACTTTTTTTTTTCTAAAACAAGAAAACTTTTCTTACTTAGAAGTCCAAATCCGTCGACCTTAAGCCCTCAAAAAAGCTAAGAGCAGAGGAGTGACAAAACTAAACTGAAACGGTCTCTAGAATAGTATTACAATTTGTTCGGCCAATTTTATCATGTAAAACACTGATTCTCTATTTAGGATTCTAACTATTAAAGCCGCCGTTGAAGAAGAGCTAGTTGGGTTTATTTTAATTTTATGAAATTTTGTATTAGTTGAACTGAAACAATAGTGAATATTGAATTTTGTTGAATCAGAAAGATTGAAGAAAAAAAAAATAATAAAAGAAACAAAGGGATTTGTTTTTTCGGTTAAAGTTTTGCAAAAAAAATTAATTATCAAAATACGACATAAATAAATTCACCTTTTAATTTATGACTTTTAACTTGAGATAACTCCCTTAATTTACCATGGCTCATCCGAATAATTTCAACTTTTAAAATACTAATATTAAACACATCAACAAATACAAATTTTTTATTTTAATATTTCAACTTACAAAATTTAAATCGATGAATTCCTATTAGATTGATTGAAAAATTATAAAAGACTATTATTCAAAAATTTGGTTTACCTACACATCAAATCAATATTCTTATATAGAAACTAAAAAGCATCAAAAAAAAACTATTGTTGTAAGCATGATAAAGGCATACAATTTACTAAAATTCAAAACTTTAAACTTTAAGGGATACAAATAAAAGAACTCTCTCGAAGTTCACATAGATAAAAGATAGCTCAATTCAATTTGAATTTATTATTTGGCTATATATGTAATACTTAATAGCATATTACACCCTCATAAATATTTCCTGTCTCCCCCCTATCAAATTGGAAGCTGTCAAATTTTCATGCCGCTCCAATTTCATTTAATAAAACAGCTTTGCGCGTTTAAATATTATTGGGAAAAAAAATTTAAAGTTTTAACTCTAACCCAATTAAAAAAACACTCAAACAATTCGCAAATAATTTCTGATGCAGTTAAGCTACCACAAACATATTCATTTGGCCCATAGATCCGGCCCAGTCACAATCCGATTGTTAGCCAAAAGCCAAAAATTCACAAAGGCCCTGACATGACCAACACCCCTAATACTCTAACGCTCCACACGAAAAACTCTCTTTTCTTCTTCTCCTTTTCTCTGTTATGACAGTGAGAATTGGATTAAAAGTTGCTAAAAAATGTATATGTATAAGGAACTCAACAATTGATATAAGACCAAGACCCACTAAATAGTGGTCAACATCAGGATGTCCAGTTAAAAACAACAAAAGGGACACATTATTCTTGACTTCAGGATGGGAAAGAACTTCACATTTTTGGGCCATATGAAACATCATTCCCAGTACACTGAATCTTCGATTCGGCTTTATGGATATGCCGCGGAGAATGGATGCTGATCAAAAAGATACAGCATTAGCTATGATATTTATATATGAGAAATACACAGACTTAAAGTTCTTCTAAATGCCTTCCTCAAAAATAAAAATCATATAAAAACTATGTGAATGAAAGTCCAAGAAAGCTTTGCGGAGGTTACATGTGAGACCAACAACGATTTGCCACTAACTTCAGACCACTGTTTTATCATCAGTGTACAATCTTGTCCTTACAGCACCTAGATTAACTTCTTTTAACGAAGCATAAGGTTCCCTTCCTCTTTTGGGGAAATAATTCTCTAATTGTAAGAGACATGAAGGAAAGAAAAAGAAAATAAAAAACATATATAGCAAGAATTATTCCTGAAATTCTGTCCAAATATAGTTCTCTATTTAAAAGTAGAGAACCTCTCTGACCACATAATGTTTCAAAATTTTTAAGGAGGCATTTGAGGAAATTCTAACTTCCCTTCCAACATAAGCTGCAATTTAGAACAAGTCTGGAAAATTCCAAAAATGATAAGCTCGAGAACCAGTTGCAAACTATAAGATTCGGCAGGGGCCCATTTTATTACATGAGGCTCAGTTTCATAAGTCACCAAGCTCGCAACCTGGAGAGCCATAGAAAAAACATGACATGGTTTACTGCGCATCCACTAACAACTGATCAAAATATAAAGAAGAAACTGGAGAAGGGAAAAAAAAAAAAAAAAAAAAAAAAAAAAAAAAAAGAAAGAAAAACAATGAAGTTAATACTATATATACGCATAGGACGTTTCTCCATACAGAATATCAGCCCGATATACCCTCTTGTTTCCTAAAGGCAAGCTGGAAATTACAGAGAATTCAATATCAAGTGTCATTTGGAAAGGGGTCGAGAACAGATTGGCACAGGTTGTTCACACTTAAAATTAACAAGCTCATTCAATTAGAAAAACATTGTCATGATAAATTCCAAACTTAAAGAGTTCCGTTACTTCTCAAATTTTCCCATCTAAACACCTTGCATAGCTTAGTTACTAGATCACAACTAGATTTTAGAATATTTGCCTCTTCTACCTGCGAAAAACCAACCTTCAAACCACAAGCTTCTCAGAAATTTTCTTTGTTAACATTCAAAATGAACTCACTAAAAAGCTATGGCCATCACAAATGTCCAATGATCACCGAAATAGAACTTAATTATTTATGGTCATCTACCATTCCAAATAGTTTTCAGCATTATAATTTTGTACTCTACATTCTTGGATATGAATTCAATATGATTGAAAGCCAACATATAAAACACCTCTGAACTTTTCAAGTTCTTGCTATTTAGCGGTCCAAATTTGGACAAAATTGCGTGCTCTATTCAAATTGGTTTATACGGAGTTACTAAATACTAAGGAAAATATATTAATCGACCAAATACAAGAAGTGAAAGGGTGTAGATAGCAAATCTGGTCTTAAGAAAAGGATCAGGATTCTAATCTTGGGTAACTAAAATATCGGTGCCTAAAGTTCATAACCATGACCAAAGTAAACAAGGAACTTCTCAAGTTTTTATTACTCTCCATCCTCCAAGGCTAAATGTATTAGATGCCTAGGGCTGAGGTGCACACATGCTCAGTATTTTGGTGCTCACTAACATGCAGGAAAGGCTCACTCTGCAAGCAGCCTTGGGCTTAGCACAACCTGTGTTTTTATTACATACTCTTTTTTTTCCTGCTGACCTAACTAATTTGTGAGTCCATCCTTCCCAGATTATTTTTAAAAAAGTAAATATTTCTTCAAAGGATCCTATTTATTAAAACCTTTTTTCAAAAAGGGAAATTTAAGAACTATGCTATTCCCAACTGCTTACTACAAAAGAATTTTCACATCAAAAAGCAGCTACGTATTTATTTACTTTCTTTATTAGACATAAGATGGGTTTAAGGGTTGATACTTTTGTTAAGCTTTCAAATAATTGACTTAAAACAACTTATGACATTACACTTTTCCGTGTTTTTTTTTATATAAAAAATTGATGAAATTTATAATAGCCTTGTTGTCCTTTGTTATATACATCCAAAATTCTTACTCTCTAGAATTTTACAACAAAAAATTGGGCTTGTTTTGTTTTGTGATTTGCCCAAAGCAGCGTTTGCTGAATAATGATGGGGCACAGTAAGTACTTTGCTAATATTTTATAGTAGGAAGTTTGATCTGAACTAGCATGTTAGTAAGCATGTGTTGAATTCTACATCTTTTTAACAATATGTGATTAGTATTTAGTTTATAGATTATTATCTCACAAGAAATTTTTTTTTTTTTTTTTTTTTTTTTTTTTTTAATGTCAATAAGAACCTTGTATCCATCAAGGATGCACCTGACTGCACCCTTTGCAACTCATGCTCCAAGACCCTTTGTACTTTACCTCACGTTGGGCCTTTAACAAAACTGACCTGAATTATCCATTTTGATTTACTGAGTACTACTATTTTCCACCAAAGATTATTTGACCAAATACACTGTTAACAACATAAGGAACGCTATATATTGGTTAACAAGGAAATAGGAACTATGATGATGTAAAAAGGAAGATAGAGAGTGGCAGTGGGTTGTTCAAAGATGAATGAGATAAAAGAAAGAGACTTATCGTACTTCTTTCCCACTCCTTACACTCCAAGCATGGACTCGACCATCACCTGAGCCTGTCAAGAATCAGAAGCCAAGAAAGTTATTTCTAGTCAAAACAGGTAATATTCTGTAGAACCAAAGTAATTTTGAGTTTGACAAAAGCAACATGCCAATTTTTATTGGTTGAAATGGTCTCATTGAATAGTAATATCATGGCAAGGATTTTATGGAGACAGTCTCCAAGGTACTTTCCTTTTCCAGCCTATAAATGATTTACATTAACAGAATGATTGTGCACAAAAAGCCCCAAAAACCTAGCAGTTCCAACCCAAATCCCTGGCCCATAAAGTAAAATAAAAAAAATAAATAACAGAGGAAGAGAGAGAGAAGAATCAGTCATTTACTAGCACATCTAACAAAAAAATTTACTAGCAATTCAACAAGTAAATTTTTTTGACAAGGATTACTTTTGTAAGTCAGAAAGTTTGACAAGAACATTTTAAGGCATTGAAACTTTAGTAATCAACTAAAAAGATTCAAGTTAGTGTCCCCAAAAAAAAAAAAAAAATATTGACACAGATGACATATACCTGATGCAACAAACATTCCCTCGGGACTGAAAGATGCCTCTAATGTAGAGTTGGTGGAGACTGGCTTCACATTGTATGTTGATAACTAATACAACCAAAGTAGGACAAAGGGGCTTACTGAAGCATACATAAATAACCAACCTAAAATCTTCAAATTCAATAAATTAAAAAAATAAAAAAAGATCTAAGCTAAAGTTTTAAGCGCTGAACTCACAAGTGTGCCACGGAATGAATCAAGCACATGAATATGCCCATCCATAGTTGTCAGGAGCATAAGTCTCCCATCATTGCTAAACTTTACAACATGTGCATCAGATACATCTCCCCCAACAGAAAAGATATCAAAAGGTCCCTAAAAGAATTTGAGTTTTCAATTTTAAGTGCACGCTAAATAGTTTTGAAGTTTGCAACAGCCATTGTAATTGCTAACCATCCGTAATTCTTCAGGTCTAAATCCTAACCTTTTCATACTTGCGAGAGTCAAACATTCTTATGTATCCTCCAAAGGCAATTGCAAATACCAACCCTTGATCATCATATGCTGTGGCAGGCCTTCCTTGTACTCGTAAAAGACCCTAGAACAAAGATAACAGATCAGAATTGGAAGGAAGGAAAGCTTACTTTTCTAAGGTTCTATATCCTGAGATATCAAACCTGACACTTTTCAGCTCGTTGATCCCATAGTAGAACAGTCCGGTCAAGAGAACCAGAGATAAAACATTCTTTCCGAGAACACAAACTTAGCGAGACAACCCTTCAGATAAATTCATGAAACGTCAATTTATGACACAAGATATGTGCAATATGAGCAATCACTTCAAATTGTAAGTAAATGTCACTGCACCAAAGACCAAACCTGTCATGATGACCTTTAAAATACCGCAAGTATTTGTTATCATTTAACGAGAGAAGCCGCAGAGATTCTGAACCGATGAATCAAATAAATAAATGATCTAAACATAGTATGATCTCCAGATACAAATGAATATCTAATCTTAGCAAATAAGATAAATTATCCAAACTGTAATCTCACAAGGAAAATGTTATTCTCATAAGCATACCATCCCATCCATTTTTTGAGGAGTATATAACAGTTGTAGGATGAGAAGTAAAGCAAACCAGATCAACCCCATACTTTTTGCTATTGATAGTTTTTAAACATCTGAAAATGGAAAAGACATCTCAGTAATTTATGTGACAAAATAAAACCATTTGACAGTACAAAATAAAACACAGATGATAAAAGTTTATGACAATGAATCAAATAAATAAATGATCTAAACATAGTATGATCTCCAGATACAAATGAATATCTAATCTTAGCAAATAAGATAAATTATCCAAACTGTAATCTCACAAGGAAAATGTTATTCTCATAAGCATACCATCCCATCCATTTTTTGAGGAGTATATAACAGTTGTAGGATGAGAAGTAAAGCAAACCAGATCAACTCCATACTTTTTGCTATTGATAGTTTTTAAACATCTGAAAATGGAAAAGACATCTCAGTAATTTATCTGACAAAATAAAACCATTTGACAGTAAAAAATAAAAACAGATGATAAAAGTTTATGACATATATAAACAATCAGATAAACAATATTGTACAGCTTTGGAGGTGATAATAGGACTAAAAAGCTGCATGGCTCAAATAACTTCACCGCATGTAAGTGAGGCACAAAATAACACAAGGATAATTTATGCAGAAGCAATGGCGAACAGGGCAAAATGATAGGGAAGAACTTGCACAATCATATATATTTAACAAGAGCCAATTCCAACGAAGCAGAGCAAACACAACCCAGCAGTTATTAAGAGTTTGTTATATTTATAAAAAATTAAAAAAAAAAAAAAGGAGGAGCATAATCACATGTCCCACAAACACAAACAATATGTACCACAATACAGAAGACGATCACTTGGTCAAAACCCCAATAACGCTAGCTCTGGACTAACATTCGGGTTTAAAGTGAACACAGGCAGGATGCTATGGAAACAAATCAGTGGCAACCTCAAAAAATTAAACAAGAAAAACAACTTTAACGACTCAAACTGAAAATAGAGCCTGCAGATTAACGTATACCTATGTAAATGAGGCAAGAAAACATGAGGCTTACGTTGCACTGGCAACATCATAAAGGCGAATAGATTCATCGTCACTAGCAGTTACTAGATAACTTGATGTCTTGTGAAAATCCATAGAGCTGATTCTACCGTTCTGTATCGAATAATTAACAAAAAAAAATTAAAAAAATTAAAAAAGGAGCAGAGATTGTTCTCCAAATTAGGTTTTCAGAATTTAAGAATGAATTGAAACAAAAAGAGAAGAAATTACATAATCCCTAAAAACCATGCCAATTTCCATGCTTTGAAGAATCTCTTCGGTGAGTTCTAACGATACTTTTTCTTCTCTTTCCGACTGAGTCCCTTTTCAAGTATACAAAATTTATTACAGGCCAAAACGAACAGTGTAAAATCAAGAACTGAATTTGTAAGTTTTCAGCAGAAATTCTATACGTACCAACCATCATTGAACAGTTTCAACTGATGAGTGATGATATGATAACTGAAGGAGAGATTTTGAGTAAAGATAAAAACCGCCGGCGATTTTCGACGACTTTAACCGCCGTGAATAATTGCCGGAAACGGACTATGGTGGTAGAGTGGGGGCTTAGGTGGGCGGTTGTATTGGGTTCATATGGGTGGTCTGGCCCAGCTTAAAAATTTAGAAGAATTTGACAACAAAAATTAGGCAAAACGACCATTGCATCCTTGTATTTTTTTTTTTTTTTAAATATAACTATTTCGTGCTTACTTGGTTCTTTTTACCACGTGCAATGTACGTTGATAGCGAAGACAGCGCACATACATAAAAGGCGTCAGGCATATGTAGAAACCTAATAAGAGACGAGAGGAAGGACGAACCGAATGAAGCAAATTGAATCAGTGCAACTATGGTTAGGGTTTGTTCAGCTTCAAAAATAAAAGTGTCAGAGCCGAGTTTTTTTTTAGAGTTGTTGAGAATAACACCGTGAATTGATTTGATAATTGACGAAGCCTTTTCCCTTTTCATTAATTAAATAAAAATAATACAACGAATTTTCTCTGTTTATAAAAGGGATTTTCATTAATTCTTTTTAAAATAAATAACTAAGTAAATAAATTTACTTGTATGCTTTTTATCGAATAATAAAAATTAAAGTGTTTAATAAGTAAAATTTTAAATTTTTAATAGATTAAAGTAAAAAATTGAGAATTTTTTATAAGATTTTTTTTGTAAAAAATACAAATATAGATTTATACCTTAAAAAAAATAGAAAAATTCTAAGTGCACCTAGTTTGATTGGTCTTTTTTTAGTGTAAAGAGTTAAAGGTCTCAAATTCGAGTCGTGTGAGAAGTGAAAAGTCTCGAATTTAAATTTTGTCAACCACATAATTTTTCATAAATTGATGAATCAAGAGAAATATATTATTTCGAGCCATTAGACTTTCTAATTCATAAAAAAATGGAAAAATTCTATAGTGGGATATTTTGGGTAAATAGGTTGAGCGAGAGAGTTATGTAGACTTCAAGGATGGTTAATTGGGCAAACCATAAAAAAAATCTAAAAGGGGTGTTTTAATTATACATCAAACGCAACTTTCTTCCTCTAATACCCTCAACTTGAAAACTAAGTTATAATTACACTCTATTTTGAAACTAAATTCATTTTATTCAATTTTCGTAGGCCACGCACTCTCTACTATAGTTATCTTAACTCAAGCAATTAGTTAAATTAAAACATACCAACTAAAACATACCATTTTGTTTTTAATTAAAGAATAAATAAATCTGCAAATCACACTCAATTGCCGTCTTCATTCTGCTGCCTCTCTCTCTCTCTCTCTGTGCTGTATCTCCCTCTTCAATGAATTAAAATTATAAATTCAAAATAATAGGAGAAGAAAGTTACATTTAGGGTACAATTAAAATAATCCGCAAAATTTAGAATTTTTTGGCCGGTTAATTGGCTATAGTAGACACGGGCCGGTTATCCAGAAACTCAGTCCATAAAATTATGGGCCGCTTGTAGCCCATAGGAAACTATAGGAAAGATTTATCAATTTTTCTTTGTAGTCATGCCAAGCCCAAATTTTTTTTGTTTTTTGAAGTTAGCCCAATATTCGCGAGGATGCAAAAAATTCAACAATGGTTCAAGGTAACCATTAAGATGTGGATGATCATCTCAGAACATGCAAAGATAAAATTGCATCCAGTAATGCATCTCATAATCCAAAAAGATGCATTGCAAGTGTAACTACAATATGTTTCAAGTAACAGGAACCCAAATGCATATGCACCAGTACAGTATATTTTCCAGATCAAGCCTTGTCAAGAATATTGTTCGCCAATATATAAATTCACTAAACAAACAACAATAGCTTCTCATCAGTAACTTAAGTAGAGTACTGGTGTTACGAATTGTATACGCACATATATGCCAGAAAGAAAGAGGATACAATAATCATATTAGACAACATTAAGATCAAGGGCCAAACCTAGATGACGATCCAAATCTGCACTTCACTTCTATCCCCTTCCAGCTGGATTTAATTCTACATAAAACATCGGCAGAAATTTACTTATATCAGCATGTGTCTTGTTTAGTGTGCCAATTTCTTAAGATGTTGAAATGTTCGCTGTTTTATCCACTGTCTATCATATGGCAGATATGCTTTAATTGAGTGGTCATAACTGCAAGCCAAAAATACACAGCAAAATATCAGCTACTCCAACATGTGTTATAACATGAATGCATACAACTATGCTGATAAAGGAATATAGATACAACTTCATGAAAAGTAAAAATTGGTAAATAATTACATAAACAGTCCCCAAATTAGTATGAAAAGTTCTATTTAACTTTAGCAATTTTGATGGACATTCCATCATTCACTTTGAAATCTCATTGCATTTTTTTATTATGACACTTCAAAGAAACATACTTTCCATTAACCCTCTTCACAGTTCACAAATGTACAAACAGGTTTTAATATCTGTTTCCTCTTTAAGATTAACAAATCCAAGTGGTACCAACATGATCTTTAGAGATGTTTAGAGGTGTTCAATTGTTAGATATAAAGTGTTTTGCAGTGCATAAAAGGGGGCGGGGGGAGGGGGGAGGAGAGGCATACACTAGAGCACTCATGTCTGCAAGGCCATCAATAAAATTGTAGAGATCTGCAATGTCATAAGTGATATTTCTGCTAGCTGGATTTAGTTCCTTAAGCTTTCTTTCGTAGAGTCCACATATACCTATAAATTCCAAAAGGTAACAGATGAGTAAAAATGAAGATACTATGAATTCAAGTATTTCAAGAATAATTATTCAAACAATTCATTCATCAAAAAAACCAAATTCCAGTGCTACAAAATGGTGAAAGAGAGGCTATATTGATCTTACTAAAACAAAAAAGTTTCTGAGCATGCACACTCTCCAAGCAACCATCATGATTTATAAAGAAAATAGCAAATACTGAGAACAATGACCAATGAATTTGATCTAGGTTGTTCAGAATCACCCTCTCCGTTCCTCAACATAGCATACTCTGTATTAAGACTACACAATGTTTAAGAGGGGAAGAATCCTTCAAATGGGATCTAGAAAAAGACAATATACAAAACATGCTGAAAATAGATCTCTCAATCCTTTTCCAGAGTAAGGGCGCTCCAGATAAAATAAAGCACAGAAGACAAGTTATATACTCATAACGCAGGCCATGAATTCATAATCCATTAGAGCAACTAACTTGCTTTTCTGCCCATCATTTGAATCAGGGAATTTGACAGAAAGAAACAGCCGCAACAAGAACAACAATAATAATAATAATAAATCATAAATTATAAATAATATCACTCGTACAAGATCATGAAGGAACTGAAAGGAACTTGACAGCTCTCAAACACCAGTGACAATACTGCTAATTCATGCAAAAAATGAATAATGACACTGACAACAATGATGATAAAACAAAATTAACATACCATCCATAGCTTGACTTATTGAATCATAATCCATAAAAGTTCTAGTAGCTTTATTTTGTGAAGTCTGCATCAGAATTATGGTGTGCCTATTAGCCTACATGGAAAACAGAAAACAGCCAGTTAGAATCCTAGCAAGATAAGAGCACAAAATTAATCACTAATCGACTAAATAATGATAATACGTGTATTTCTACAAGCATAAAAGGCCTGATGGGCACAATAAAATGAGTACACTTCTGAAATAGCTGCAGTATCCAAGTATCAAAAGAAATGTCAACTGAAAACTCTACAGCAGATTATGCTCTCCAGGTGTTCCACCAACTACTTGATACAGTGAACTAGTTAAAATAACAGGGAAAAAACAATTGCATTCGTCAAGGTAATTTGGCAATATCTAGCTCCTTTAAACAAATGCAAGATGAGAAAGAAATTGGCACAATAAGTGATGGAAAAGCAAATTGTTTTCTCTTTTCTTTTCTATTCTTTCTCTTTTCTTTTCATTCTTTTTCTCCCTCTTGGAAAAAGAAGCCCATTCTCTTCACATGGCTTCTTCTTGCTGACATGGCATCTACAAATTCCATGTATTCACATCTTCAATGTCCAATACAAAAAAAGCAAACCTTCCAAAACCATAGGTTTTCGCATCACTGCTTGCAAATTTAACGAACTTCGAAGGAACTCACTGATTGCAAAAGCAAAACACCGACTGCTTCACTTGAATCGCTCTTTAGATTAAGTTTAGAAATGCATCGAAAATGTTCTAATCAAACAAAATACAACAAAAAACATAAATCCATCTATGCTTTTATAGAAACGGAAAATATAAATTCACTCAATAAGATTCTACATCACACAGAAGGCGAACAGCGGAAATTAGGAAACTCTAACTTCCCCGGCACAAATAGAAACTGCAATTTTAACGAACGTTAGAAACTAGAAATGTAACAGTTTTTTAAAATCCATTTGGAAGTTAATACGAACTATAAAACGGAAAAAGGAAACAGAAGAAATCGAATTACCATAGCAAAAGAGTTAATTTGATGGCTTCAATAACAAGCGCGACGATAGATTCTTTGTTTGCTTGAGTTCTACACGCTGAAAGAAAGACAGAGAAATTGACTGCGTCGAAGACCTGAAGGAGTTTTAAGAAAAAGATTTAAATTTATATGATAAATAAAATAAATGGTAAAATTCTACTTAATCCTTGCCACTATGTTTGGATTGATGGAAAATAGAAGGGGAAAAAAATCCATAAGAAAAATAGTATCAACTTCTTTGCCCCAACAAAAATATGAAAGGAAGAAAAATATAAAAGAAAAATAAATTAGAAAACCACGTGTCTTTTTCTCTCCAATTTAGAAGAAAAGCTAAAAGAAAATAATTAAAATTAAAATTTATTCTTATTTATCGTATTTTTTGAAAAAAAAAAATAAAGTATTTATAAAATTATTTTTTTTATTTTCCTTTAAAATATCCAAATATCAAGTGGAAAACTTATATTTTCCTTCTCCCAAAATTGCTATCCAAGCACATCCTTTCTTTTGACAATAATTATAACTTTATCTTTATTGTTTAATAAATATATTGATTAATTTCCTCAAAAAAACAAATAAATATACTGGTTAATCTTTAAAATTTAGTTTCATTAAAATATTAGCCACATGCTCGTGCTACGCACAATTTTAATAAATATTATTTTTTAATATTTAATTTTAATTTTAACATTTCACTTTTTTATTATAATTATTTTCTAATATTCATATAAACTTATTTGAAAATAAATAAATTTAAAACTTGTATATATTCAAATTTATGATATTAAATTTTTTTTAAATAATAAGAAAACCATAGAAATGGCAATCAACAATTCGAATAAAGGAGAATTAAGATGATAAAAATATTTTAATGAGAATTAATTGAAAATAATAATTATAATTTATATGATAACAAATAAAGGAGGATAAAACACCTAAGCCTAAATTTAAGGTGCTAAGTGGAAGCCTGCAAGGAGAATAGGCCACATGTCATTTCCTAAGGAAACAATGCTTGTTTTATATATATATTATAAGCGATGATTTGCTTTTCACGACTGTATAATAGTGTAAATATAAAATAGTGTATTAAGTAGGGTGCAAATTTTCATTTTTTTTAGGAAAAAGCCACCGGAAATGTTATTAGAAATTAAAGTTGATATACAGAAGAATTTAAGTATTTGATTTCTGTTTCTGTATAGAGATTTAATATTAAAAGAATATAATTAGAGAAACATATTAAATTCATTATTGCATAAAACATATTTAGAGAAACATATTAAATTCATTATTGCATAAAACATATTTAGATTATTTTTTATTACACAAACTTCAATCCCTACAAAACTAAATAAAATAAAACTAAAATTAGCAAAATATAAAATGATAATGAAATTGGAATAAATAAAACTAAGCAAACAAAACAAACAAAGCAATAAAAAGCCAGAAGGTTTGAAGAAGTCCCTGTGTGACCACTGCTTTGATAGATATGTATGCAAAGTGTAGAAGCATAGACCAAGCTTTAAAGACTTTCTTTACGTCCCAAGTTAAGGATATTTACTGTTCGAATGCTATAATTTCTGGGCTTGCACTTCACGGCCATGGCTATGCTGCTGTCAAACTTTTTGGCGACATGATAAAGAGACTTGTGATAGAGATATACTATTAACCATGCATATGTAATAGTATAGCTATGAATGATTTTCTATTGACAATTATTTCTTTGTATTTAATTGGAAATTTTTGAAATATATTTCTTTGTATTTTAATTGGAAAATTTAGCATTAAAATAATGTTATAAGCAATAGTGAAGCAATAATGGAAACATAGCTTAAAAAAGAAATACACAACCAATTCTGATACCGGATTCCAATGAATCTGAGGTTTGGATGCAAATTGATTCAAAGAATGTATTTATCTATCTCCTCTCCTGTACCTGCTGGCATGCACATGGACTGTTTCCCAGCAAAGATTAATTGTTATATCCATAAAAACTAAGCTATGTACTGGCCTTGAAATCCGACTTCTTACCAACTATAGAAAGAAAAAGTTTTTGTCAACTTCCAAATCCGTAAATTAATGCCATTGAAAAAGAGCTGTCAGTTTTTTTTCCTTGAAAAGTGAAAATGGACAGTATATAGCTCATTGCTTCTTCGTAAAGTTAAGTTTTTTCTTGAATTTGCAGACATATTGAATTGAATTTTAAGTGATTAAGTGTTGCATCCTTCTCAGAAACATAAAGTTATATTGTGATTTAAATAAATTGTCAGTAAGTTATTTAAATGACAGCATCTGTAATCTTAACATGGGGAACATTATTTTATTATGTTGTGGATGTTGGTGGAATAGTTACAATAAATAAGGAGTTCAGTCAATGAGTTTTTAGTGGAAAGTGGAATAATTCATGATTAATTATAATAAGAATATGTTGGTCTACATAGGTTATTATTATAATTAGTAGCCTGATTTATTTTATTCCTGAGGTCCCTGTAGTGCCCTAATTATTTGGAAAGTTAAGGGTGTATTAAATAATAGATAAATTATTCAGTTTTAAAATAATTGATAATTATTTTAATTAAATAATTTTTTATTTAATTTATTTTATATTAAAAAAAAATATCTTTCTATCGAAGAGAGTTTTTTTTAATATAAGATTTGAAAACCCTAAGAATAGAGAGACGCACGTTATTCTATTCTCTGCCACTCAGAGAGATAGTTAGGGATTGAAGGATAAGATTAGAGGCGATTACATCTGCAAGAAGAATATGGGTGACTCCAAGATCTCTGAAAAGACAGACGCGGTGAGCGATTCTGCGCTTCAAGAGGTCAGTTTATTTGATTTGTTCGAATTAATGTTTTTTAGTTTGCCTCATAGGTTTCCGATAAGGGGTTGTTTTCGCTTTATAACCCGCCTCCATTCAATTCGGTATCAGAGCATAAACGAACTGTTATGAAGGTGGCTATTTTGTCATGTTTCAATCGGTAATTATTAATCTGTTTTTTGATTGTTTTGAGTGGTGACTGGTTAGAGAAGCTTTCAAGAAGTTTTTCAAGACAACAAGCAAAATGCAGTACTGATCACAAAATTTTTTTTTGAAAACTGTAGTTTTTAATGGCAATTAATATATATGAAAAAAAGGCATATATATAATATGAATACTATTTTTGGGTGTGTTTCGATGAACCGGAGAGGGCAGAAAAGACAAAATCTTTATTTTTTTGTTTTGAAAGATAGTAGAAAGGGCCAAGAAAAAAAAAAAAAAAAAAAAAAAAAAAAAAAAGCGCCAGCAGCGTTAATGGACGTTGAAGGGAAAAGGGGCAGCGGCTAGGGCTTCTTCGTGAAGAAGAAGCTGCTGCTTGCCAAATTTCCCTTCTGGTCCCTCAATTTGTTAAATTTTATATTTTGACCCCTTATCTTTAAGTTTTTATTTTTTGACACTAGATCTTTTGTTTATTATATTTTAACCTCTGGACTTTAATTTTTTATATTTTGACCCAGAAAGTATCCGTTATTCCGTTTTGGCCCCTGGAGTTATTTAAATTATAAAGTGACCCTGATTGTTTCTGGTATTATTAAAATTGCCTAGTGCTAGATTGTTTTTCCCGATTTTTGCAATTTTGGCCTCATTATAGTTTCCTGTTTAATGCAAAATGTCAAACAAGTTCTGAAATTTGCGAAATGGGCCAGATGTTTTTATGTTTTTGCAAGATTAAACTCAGAATGTTTTAATTTATTTGGCCATAAATAGACCATAAGCCTAAATTTTAAAACATTTTCAAACCAAACTGTTAATTTTTATTTGCAAAAGTTGTCTTAAAAATATATTATTTTGCAATTTTGATTTATAATTAATTTATATATGAATTAATTTGTGAGTGGTTTTTTTTTTTTTTACTTTCTAGTTGTAATTATTTGCATGTCTTCCCCATCGGAAGATGTCATGTTTTAATATAATTACTGAACTAGTCTAATTTGTCTGTATTGATTTAACTCTCCATCTGAGTAAATTAATTAGTGACATGAATCAGATGTAATATTTTCTCACACATTAATATGTTAATTTAAGAGGCATATTATCTCCCATCGAGTAGTATGTGCCGGTCTTATCTAATTATAATATGCAAAACATGTGATTGGTTGAATTCTCCCATCGAGGTTGCTATTCATGAATGTCATGAATGTTGGTGAATGTGTATTTTTTTTTTGAATTTGTGATATCAAGTTTTGGTATATTTTGCAATTTGATTTATTCAATGTTTATTATTGATATGCTAATTTTGTTTAATGCATGATATAGAAATGGCATCATTCAGTCCCCTTGCAAACATCTTAACCCAAAATAAACTTGAGGGTCCAAACTATGTTGACTGGAAGAGGAATTTGGACATTTTGCTTACTGCTGAGGAGTATCAGTTTGTGCTTACTGAAGTTTGTCCTGAAAAACTCAAAAACCCGGTGAGGGTGCCTCTGAGGAGGTCACCAGAGCTTACCAGAAATGGGTTAAAGCTGATGAGATGGCGCGATGTTACATTTTGGCTTCTGTGCCAAATGTTTTGCAACATCAGCATCAGACGATGGACACAGCTTTTGACATGCTCGAAAATCTCAAGGAGATGTTTGGAGATCAAACTAGTGCAGCAAGGCAAAACGCACTGAGGGAGATTCTTACTTCCAAAATGGAGGAGGGGACCCCAGTTAGAACTCATGTCTTGAAGATGATGAGTCTTCTGAATAACATGGAGGTTCTTGGTGCTGAGGTTGACAATGCTACACAGATAGAAATGATCTTGAACACTTTGCCAGCCAGTTTTCAGCAGTTTCGTTTGTTTGAACTATAACATGAAATAAGATGGATTTCAACTCTGTCTAGAGTTGCTGAATGACTGGTGCTGCTGAGACTATAATTTAAGCAAGGAGCTGCACCTGTTGTGCTTAATGTTGTGTTGAGCGAGGTTCTTCTTCTGCCCAGAATAAGGGTAAGAAGAAGAAAAATGCTCACAAGGCTAAGCCTAAAACAAGTGGTGCATCTACTAGTGCAAGTGTTACTGTGAAAAAGCCTAAGGGTAAGTGTTTTCACTACAAGCAACCTGGGCACTGGAAGTCACAATGTCCAACATGGTTAGCCAAGAAGAAGCAAGGTATGTCTTTGTTTTATGTGTGATAGTTGAAACTTGTTTAGCGGTGTTGACTACACTCCAATGGTGTGTAGATTCTGGAGCCACTAATCATGTCTGCAATTCATTGCAGGAGTTTCAGGTAACTCGTCA